TGATTTATCATGTAATGTTTACCACTGTATCTAGGTTGTATCAATATATGGTAGATATTGATGTATAATGTAATGTTTCCCACTCTATCTAGGTTGTATCAATATATGGAAGATATTGATGTAAAGTGTAATGTTTAATGTATCTAGGTTGTATCAATATATGATAGATATTGATGTATAGTGTAATGTTTAAAACTGTAACTAGGCTATGTCAATATATTGAAGATATTGATGTATAATGTAATGTTTACCACTGTATCTAGGTTGTATCAATATATGGTAGATATTGATGTATAATGGAATGTTTACCACTGTATCTAGGTTGTATTAATATATGGTAGATATTGATGTATAATGTAATGTTTACCACTGTATCTAGGTTGTATCAATATATGGTAGAAATTGATGTATAATGTAATGTTTACCAAAGTATCTAGGTTGTATCAATATATGGTAGAAATTGATGTATAATGTAATGTTTACCAAAGTATCTAGGTTGTATCAATATATGGTAGAAATTGATGTATAATGTAATGTTTACCAATGTATCTAGGTTGTATCAATATATGGTGGATATTGATGTATAATGTAATGTTTACCAATGTATCTAGGTTGTATCAATATATGGTAGATATTGATGTATAATGTTATGTTTACCAATCTATCTAGGTTGTATCAATATATGGTAGATATTGATGTATAGTGTAATGTTTACTAATGTATCTAGGTTGTATCAATATATAGTAGATATTGATGTATAGTGTAATGTTTACCACTGTATCTAGGCTGTGTCAATATATGGTAGATATTGATGTATAATGTAATGTTAACCACTATATCTAGGTTGTATCAATATATGGTAGATATTGATGCAAAATGTAATGTTTACCACCGTATCTAGGTTGTATCAATATATGGTAGATATTGATGTATAATGTAATGTTAACCACTATATCTAGGTTGTATCAATATATGGTAGATATTGATGTAAAATGTGAAGTTTAACACATTATCTAGGTTGTATCAATATATGGTAGATATTGATGCAAAATGTAATGTTTACCACTGTATCTAGATTGTATCAATATATGGTAGATATTGATGTATAGTGTAATGTTTACCACTGTATCTAGGTCGTATCAATATATGGTAGATATTGATGTATGATGTAATGTTTACCACTGTATCTAGGTTGTATCAATATATGACAGATATTGATGTATAGTGTAATGTTTACTAATGTATCTAGGTTGTATCAATATATGGTAGATTTACCACTGTATCTAGGTTGTATCAATATATTGTAGATATTGATTTATTGTGTAATGTTTACCACTGTATCTAGGCTGTGTCAATATATGGAAGATATTGATGTATAATGTAATGTTAACCACTGTATCTAGGTTGTATCAATATATTGTAGATATTGATTTATTGTGTAATGTTTACCACTGTATCTAGGCTGTGTCAATATATGGAATATATTGCTGTATAATGTAATGTTTACCACTGTATCTAGGTTGTATCAATATATTGTAGATATTGATTTATTGTGTAATGTTTACCACTGTATCTAGGCTGTGTCAATATATGGAATATATTGATGTATAATGTAATGTTTACCACTGTATCTAGGTTGTATCAATATATGGTAAATATCGATCCAATTTATAATGTAATGTTTACCACTGTATCTAGGTTATATCAATAAATGGTAGATATTGTATCAATATATTGTAGATATTGATTTATTGTGTAATGTTTACCACTGTATCTAGGCTTTATCAATATATGGTACAGTGTAATGTTTACCACTGTATCTAGGTTATATCAATAAATGGTAGATATTGTATCAATATATTGTAGATATTGATTTATCGTGTAATGTTTACCACTGTATCTAGGCTGTGTCAATATACGGTAGCTATTGATGTATAATGTAATGTTTACAACTGTATCTAGGTTGTATCAATATATCGTCGAGATTTATTTTTAGTGTAATGTTTACCACAGTATCTAGGTTATATCAATATATGATAGATATTGATACAAAATGTAATGTTTACCACTGTATCTAGATTGTATCAATATATGGTAGATATTGATTTATAATGTAATGTTTACCACAGTATCTAGGTTATATCAATATATGGTAGATATTGATACAAAATGTAATGTTTACCACTGTATCTAGATTGTATCAATATATGGTAGATATTGATGCATGGTGTAATGTTTACCACTGTATCTAGGTTATATCAATAAATGGTAGATATTGTATCAATATATTGTAGATATTGATTTATTGTGTAATGTTTACCACTGTATCTAGGCTGTGTCAATATATGGAAGATATTGATGTATAATGTAATGTTAACCACTGTATCTAGGTTGTATCAATATATTGTAGATATTGATTTATCGTGTAATGTTTACCACTGTATCTAGGCTTTATCAATATATGGTACAGTGTAACGTTTACCACTGTATCTAGGTTGTATCAACATATGGTAGAAATTGATGTATAATGTAATGTTTACCATTGTATCTAGGTTGTATCAATATATTGTAGATATTGATTTATTGTGTAATGTTTACCACTGTATCTAGGCTGTGTCAATATACGGTAGCTATTGATGTATAATGTAATGTTTACAACTGTATCTAGGTTGTATCAATATACGGTAGATATTGATCAAATGTACAATGTAATGTTTTCAATATATGGTAGATATTGATGTATATTGTAATGTTTACCACTGTATCTAGGTTATATCAATAAATGGTAGATATTGTATCAATATATTGTAGATATTGATTTATTGTGTAATGTTTACCACTGTATCTAGGCTGTGTCAATATATCGAATATATTGATGTATAATGTAATGTTTCCCACTGTATCTAGGTTGTATCAATATATTGTAGATATTGATTTATTGTGTAATGTTTACCACTGTATCTAGGCTTTATCAATATATGGTACAGTGTAACGTTTACCACTGTATCTAGGTTGTATCAACATATGGTAGAAATTGATGTATAATGTAATGTTTACCACTCTATCTAGGTTGTATCAAGATATGGTAGATATTGATGTATATTGTAATGTTTACCACTGTATCTAGGTTATATCAATAAATGGTAGATATTGTATCAATATATTGTAGATATTGATTTATCGTGTAATGTTTACCACTGTATCTAGGCTGTGTCAATATATGGAATATATTGCTGTATAATGTAATGTTTACCACTGTATCTAGGTTGTATCAATATTTGGTAGATATTTATTTATAATGTTATGTTTACCACTCTATTTAGGTTGTATCAAGATATGGTAGATATTGATGTATAGTGTAATGTTTACCACTGTATCTAGGTTGTATCAATATATGGTAGATATTGATTTATAATGTTATGGTTACCACTCTATCTATGTTGTATCAATATATGGTAGATATTGATGTATATTGTAATGTTTACCACTGTATCTAGGTTGTATCAATATATGGTAGATATTGATGTAAAATGTAATGTTTACCACTGTATCTAGGTTATATCAATAAATGGTAGATATTGATGTTTAGGGTAATGTTTACCACAGTATCTAGGTTATATCAAAATATGGTAGATATTGATGTAAAATGTAATGTTTACCACTGTATCTAGGTTGTATCAATATATGGTAGATATTTATGTATAATGTTATGTTTACCACTGTATCTAGGTTGTATCAATCTATGGTAGATATTGATGTATAATGTAATATTTACCAATGTATCTAGGGTGTATCAATATATGGTAGATATTGATGTATAATGTAATGTTTACCACTGTATCTAGGTTATATCAATAAATGGTAGATATTGATGTTTAGGCTAATGTTTACCACAGTATCTAGGTTATATCAAAATATGGTAGATATTGATGTAATATGTAATGTTTACCACTGTATCTAGGTTGTAGCAATATATGGTAGATATTTATGTATATTGTTATGTTTACCACTGTATCTAGGTTGTGTCAATATATGGTAGATATTGATGCAAAATGTAATGTTTACCACTGTATCTAGGTTGTGTCAATATATGGTAGATATTGATGCATGGTGTAATGTTTACCACTGTATCTAGTCTGTATCAATATATGGTATATATTGATGTATAGTGTAATGTTTACTAATGTATCTAGGTTGTATCAATACATAGTAGATATTGATGTATAGTGTAATGTTTACTAATATATCTAGGTTGTATCAATATATGGTAGATATTGATGTAAAATGTAAAGTTTAACACAGTATCTAGGTTGTATCAATATATGGTAGATATTGATCCAATGTATAATGTAATGTTTACCTCTGTATCTAGGTTTACAATATATGGTAGAAATTGATGTATAGTGTAATGTTTACCTCTGTATCTAGGTTTATCAATATATGGTAGATATTGTTGTATAATGTAATGTTTACCTCTGTATCTAGGTTTATCAATATATGGTAGATATTGATGTATAATGTAATGTTTACCACTCTATCTAGGCTGTATCAATATATTGTAGATATTGATGTATAGTGTAATGTTTATCACTGTATCTAGGTTGTATCAATATATGGTAGATATTGATCCAATGTATAAGGTAATAGATATTGATGTATAATGTAATGTTAACCACTGTATCTAGGTTGTATCAATATATGGTAGATATTGATCCAATGTATAAGGTATGTTTACCACTGTATCTATGTTGTATCAATATATGATAGATATTGATGTATAATGTAATGTTTACCACTGGATCTAGGTTGTATCAATATATGGTATATATTGATGTATAGTGTAATGTTTACCACTGTATCTAGGTTGTATCAACGTAAATCAGTTAAATGCTTAAATGTTAAACGTTACAATAGCACATATCGCTAACAGAACAAAACATCAACGTAATCGTTAAACACCAGCAGGACACCAGTGCTATAGGACTGTTAGTTACCGGGGGTACTACTGTCTACACACACACGTAGCTACGTACAGTCATTATATGCAACCTTAAAGGTGCTGCGATAACGGCACATAGGACAGGAAACAAATCCGTACGTCACACGCCTCAGTAGCCTGACTGTTAGCTCGCCAGGTACCCAGCAGTCCCCTGCTAGCTGCTCGCCAGCTACCCAGCTGTGCCCTACTAAAGTGTAGCGCTACCCAGGTACCCAGCCCTTCTAGCTAAAATGGAGGTTGTAAGAGCTGATGCATCAGAGGCTGGGGCACATGGAGCCACAGATAGCCAAGTACAGCTGGTAGGTTTACAGGAGGCAAGCCAGTTCTCTAACCGGAAAGTTGTAAAATATTATTATCATTAATAATGGGATAGTACATAAAAACAATGTGTGTCTGGTCGTCTGTGTGTGTGATTTGTGTGTTTCATGTGTGTCTGGTCGTCTGTGTGTGTGTTTGGAGTGTTACATGCGTATCTGTCAAACGTACTAGCATATAGTTATGTTATCGGCCCGTAGACCTGGTGAACACTACCATTATAAGGTCACCTTAAATAAAATTATGTTAAAGTTAAACTAGTGGCATGGTAGTGACACGTCGGTTTAATTGACAGACGTAACCCTACAGCCCTAGATAATATAGCTAACGTATATAGACTTGTACAGGCATTGTACGCAAAAACACTATATCGAGCAGATCACATGACATAATAAAAAATAGTGTCTCTGGAGGCTGCCATTTAATATAATAGAAAAACAAGACTGAATATAATCATATGATGTCAGGCGCGTAGCTACCATGTAAGCCAAAAAGCCCGGGCTTGCACATGATTTTGACAAGTATAGGTTTTCATGATGTTTTTATCCTTGCTGATACTAGAAAGTGGAGTTTAAGTTTTGAATATATAGTATACATATGTAATTCCTCAGATATGATACATTGTTAATAGTTAGTGGGGCAACCTCGCTTCTCGAAATGCCCAACAAATAATAGGAGCAAGTATAAGGAACCAGTCACAAAGCACAAACAGAAGACGAAACTGTGTGGGAGACTGAGTAAAGGTGACAGTGAGGGTAACATCGGATCAGATTATGAGTAAGACAAACCCAATTGCATGTTCACTAATGCATAAGTATCAAATGCATTTATCAAGATTAGATAAAAAAACAGACAATGTATGTATGGAGGGTGTACAAAGCAATACCGACGGGTATTCTTCAGAATTACACTGGATCCACGTAAATAGGTTTATATATATACAAAAAATAGGACTTTTTTTCTTGCGGATTAAAACGAGAAAACGGACATCAGGACGTGGGATATGGCTCCTGGGACGTTCTAAAAAACAAAATTTTCATGGGGGAGATCCCCCAGACCCCCCTTACGGGAGGGGGAAGACCACCTCCCATACCCTCCCCCTGCCTCGGGCTACGCGCTTCGGGGGGGGGGGGGGGCAACCCCATGTCGGGCTTACACATGGTAAAGGGGCTAGCTACGCGCCTGGATGTAATACAAATGTCGGACTCTGAATGTAGTCCTATACTGTGATAGAAATGTCAAACTCTGAATGTAGTCATATGTAATCATATTATATAATAAAATAAGTCGCTATAGGCAGGGGAGGTCATTGAGTATAAGAAAAGTGTGATAATAAAATCAGATTCCGACAATCCTTGAATTCCTTGATTTTAGTTATTTCTGTTATGTTTTGAAAACATGGACTTTCATAATGTATACTGTTTATACTGGGTACAATGTATCGGTCCTGTCGGAGTAGAACATACACATAATGTATACAGTTTATACTGGGTACGATGTTTCGGTCATGTCGGAGTAGAACGTACACATAATGTATACTGTTTATACTTGGTACAATGTTTCGGTCCTGTCGGAGTAGAACGTACACATAATGTATACTGTTTACACTGGGTACAATGTATCGGTCCTGTCGGAGTAGAACGTACACATAATGTATACTGTTTATACTGGGTACAATGTTTCGGTCCTGTCGGAGTAGAACATACACATAATGTATACAGTTTATACTGGGTACGATGTATCGGTCCTGTCGGAGTAGAACGTACATATCATGTATACTGTTTATACCGGGTACAGTGTATCGGTCCTGTCGGAGTAGAACAGGTCCTGTCGGAGTAAAACGTACATATATTGTATACTGGTTATACCTGGAACAATGTATCGGTCCTGTCGGAGTAAAACGTACATATATTGTATACTGTTTATACCGGGTACAATGTATCGGTCCTGTCGGACTAGACTGTCGCTATAATGTATACTGTTTAGACTGGATACAATGTATCGGTCCTGTCGGAGTAAAACATACATATATTGTATACTGTTTATACCGGGTACAATGTATCGGTCCTGTCGGAGTAAAACGTACATATATTGTATACTGTTTATACCGGGTACAATGTATCGGTCCTGTCGGAGTAGAACATACATATAATGTATACTGTTTATACTGGGTACAATGCATCGGTCCTGTCGTAGTAGAACATACACATCATGTATACTGTTTATACTGGGTACAATGTATCGGTCCTGTCGGAGTAGAACGTACATATAATGTATAGTGTTTATACCGGGTACAATGTATCGGTCCTGTCGGAGTAAAACGTACATATAATGTATACTGTTTATACTGGGTACAATGCATCGGTCCTGTCGTAGTAGAACATACACATCATGTATACTGTTTATACTGGGTACAATGTATCGGTCCTGTCGGAGTAGAACGTAGATATAATGTATACTGTTTATACTGGATACAATGTATCGGTCCTGTCGGAGTAAAACATACATATATTGTATACTGTTTATACCGGGTACAATGTATCGGTCCTGTCGGAGTAGAACATACACATAATGTATACTGTTTATACTGGGTACGATGTATCGGTCCTGTCGGAGTAGAACATACATATAATGGATACTGTTTATACTGGGTACAATGCATCGGTCCTGTCGGAGTAGAACATACACATAATGTGTACTGTTTATACCGGGTACAGTGTATCGGTCCTGTCGGAGTAGAACATACATAGAATGTATACTGTTTATACTGGGTACAATGTATCGGTCCTGTCCGAGTAGAACATACATATAATGTATACTGTTTATACTGGGTACAATGCATCGGTCCTGTCGGAGTAGAACATACACATCATGTATACTGTTTATACTGGGTACAATGTATCGGTCCTGTCGGAGTAGAACGTACACATAATTGGCTTTTCCAATTGATCAGCCTCATCTCCATCCAGTATCCGATTTCCGTGATCAAATAGGGATCACCTAATCAATAGTGCCAGTGATTCACAGCTGACAACCCCATATGTTTTGTGATGATCGTAGAAATAAAGTTAAAACTCGTGTACTCTCATCAACAGATAAGGTTTGTGTGTACAAGAATCATTCATATACAATCAATATAATATAAACAGCTCTCTCCCATTGCAACATAAACATACTATTGAATGAAATAAAGGTATATTAATATTAAAAAAACTATGAAATATATATATATGTATATATCTTTTATATAACATATAGGTGTTGTGAGTAATAACGACAGTGTGATCCGATATAAATACCACATCCAGGATATCCTACCCTTTTATAACTTAAAACATATATATATACATGTATATACATTCAGACATATTGGATTTCACATTACCTGTATAAAGTAAACAAACTGTGTAGCGGTAACACAATGGTGTAGAACTGCTACCTGAACTAATTACAATATACGTAAGGTTGAGTACACCTGCGTCATGTTGTTTGAAGCACCGTTTACTCATTCTTTTAGGAATCAAATCTCTGACCATGTACAATTTTATAGTGTTTAAGATATTTCTTGTCTTAAGATGATATTTTAAAATAATGATGCTGACAGTTTTCTAAATCAGTTTCAATAATGATTAGATAGTCGAGGTTGAGAGTGTTCAATCCTATCTTGTTAAGCTGAGTGTGCTTATAACATCCGGTTTATTGTTAACTGTGTATATGGTGTCGACACTCCTCGATAGTAGATCCATGGACTATGTATGTTTTGACCTGGCATAGGAGGGTAATATATCATTGGTTTTTTATTTTGTATCTTTTATTAATCTTGCAGTTTTGCTGGTAAGTGACTACACGTTACATCTACTTGTTAACCTATACAGGCATCACGTTTATGGTGATGCCTGTATAGGTTAACAAGTAGGTTAACAAATATAAATCATAATCGACAATCATGGGTTTAATATTTTTCCATTAAATAAAAGTAAACAAAGACAGTGTGACGCTATGTCACGTGAGTTTATTTTAAACAGTTAACTAATTGAAAATAATGCACCAATTTAAAGATGGAACATAAATAGTTTATGAGAAAAATATTAGTATTATCACTTGTAATATAATCACATCTTTTTAGATAATATCGTCAATTGATATTATGTTGTTGTTACTGTCCTTGCTAGCCAAATGCAGTTCCAGACGTGCTGAATTGAATCGATTACCCCCTCCCCTCCAAGTTCCACAAGTACTTACATTAAATCTGCAGTATTGCTTACGCCCACTCCCATACAATGTAAGTACTTAAACTAATCTGTTGCACCCTCCCTCTCGTACAGACAATGTACCTGGAGCATGGCTACTACTGTCGGTATCGCCTATAATGGTACATATGTAGTAGTACCCTTGCTAAACTCCGACTAAGTTTTAGGAAGAGGGAAATCTAATCAAACACTTCGGAGTGAATCTGTGACTTCTCTAATGTATTGTCGGATATTTGAATGCCCTGTTTTCTTTTTGTTCGGATTTGATGTCAGTGTTGCTATCTATTTGGTTCTATTATATGTTATGATTTCACGTCCCAGGCCAGGCGTCTCCAGGAACTGTTAACTGGGCGCTTCACAGAGGAGGAGGCTCTCCGGATACTAGAACACAAAAACTGGGACCTCAAGGCGGCTGTTGGTTTCGTGTTTGAAAGTGAGTAGGAAAAATAAAGGTGTTATAAATGTAGGATATCATATTGTGACGTCACAATTAACAAAGTTCACACGAAACCATGCTCACCGTTTGGCTGGTAACAAAATGGTATTTGTCAGTAGAAAATTAGCATCCATTTACTAATAAATACAGTTCTTATATATGTACAACTGTAACTCACTTGACACGATGCAGCAGCTAAAACTGATGTAGGGTGTAGAAATGTGATGTGTATATATGTCATGGTTCAGTTTTACGTGGATGGAGACTGATTCCTTGTCAATATATTAAAATATTAATAAAAATGTATTAAATGTTTATTTAAACAGTTTGAAGATTTGAGAAGTATTAATCTTTCTGTTTTCGGATCTATTCATTGCTCGATAGACACAATACAAATACATTGTATTACATGCTGGGGTAATGACAACTGATGATCATATCTGTTGATGTGTGTGTGTTTAATATAGTTATTATTACTTATAATAATACAATATTGGAGAAAGGGCATGTTGTTTTTCGTGAATGACGCGTTTTCCTTCCACCACAATCCAGTTGTCCCGCTATTCAGGCAATACCGTACTGTAGGGGTTCTGGTAATACAACGATAACTGTGACAGATTGTGGTAGCAGTCCACTGATAACCATGTTTTGTGCTAGAAATGTTCACTATCAGTTTATATGTATAATGAAATAAACATTCTTTGTTTTCATTTTGGAGATATAATAAAATTTTATCCTGTTTTATTTGACCTACAATAATATTAATTAAAAATAAATGCATTTCATTAATAACTCAAAATAACATGGAATATAAGAATAGGTCGTCACAGACAACCTCATACTCTAAACTTTCCCCACTGTTGTTTAAAAGAGCTTCACAGATAACCTTATACTCTTAGCTTTCCCGAATGTTGTTTAAAAGAGCTTCACAGATAACCTTATACTCTTAGCTTTCCCCACTGTTGTTTAAAAGAGCTTCACAGACAACCTCATACTCTTAGCTTCTCCTCGGTTGTTTAAAAGAGCTTCACAGATAACCTTATACTTTTAGCTTCTCCACTGTTGTTTAAAAGAGCTTCACAGACAACCTCATACTCTTAGCTTCTCCTCGGTTGTTTAAAAGAGCTTCACAGATAACCTTATACTCTTAGCTTTACCCACTGTTGTTTAAAAGAGCTTCACAGATAACCTTATCCTCTTAACTTTCCCCACTGTTGTTTAAAAGAGCTTCACAGATAACCTTATACTCTTAGCTTCTCCACTGTTGTTTAAAAGAGCTTCACAGACAACCTCATACTCTTAGCTTCTCCTCTGTTGTTTAAAAGAGCTTCACAGATAACCTTATAATCTTAGCTTCTCCACTGTTGTATAAAAGAGGTTCACAAATAACCTTATACTCTAATCTTTCCCCACTGTTGTTTAAAAGAGCTTCATAGATAACCTTATACTCTTAGCTTCTCCACTGTTGTTTAAAAGACTTTTACAGAAAACCTTATAATCTAAGCTTCTCCACTGTTGTTTAAAAGAGCTTCACAGATAACCTTATACTCTTAGCTTCTCCACTGTTGTCACAGATAACCCTTAACTCTTAGCTTCTCCATTGTTGTTTAAAAGAGCTTCACAGATAACCTTATACTCTTAGCTTTCCCCACTGTTGTTTAAAACAGCTTCACCGATAACCCTAAACTCTTAGCTTCTCCACTATTGTTTAAAAGAGCTTCACAGATAACCTTATACTCTTAGCTTTCCCCACTGTTGTTTAAAAGAGCTTCACAGATAACCTTATAATCTTAGCTTCTTCGCTGTTGTTTAAAAGAACTTCACAGATAACCTTATACTCTTAGATTCTCCGATATTGTTGAAAAAAGCTTCACAGATAACCTTATACTCTTAGCTTCTCCACTGTTGTTTAAAACAGCTTCACAGATAACTTTAAACTCTTATCTTCCTCACTGTTGTTTAAAAGAGATTCATAGATAACCTTATACTCTAAGCTTTTCCACTGTTGCTAAAAAGAGCTTCACAGATAACCGTAAACTCTTAGCGTTCCTTACTGTTGTTTAAAATAGCTTCACTGATAACTTAAAATTCTTATCTTCTCACTGTTGTTAAAAGAGCATCACAGATAACCTTATACTCTAAGCTTTTCCACTTTTGCTTAAAAGAGCTTCACAGATAACCGTAGACTCTTAGCTTCTCCATTGTTGCTTGAAAGAGCTTCACAGATAACGTTATATTCTTAGCTTTCCCCACTGTTGTTTAATATAGCTTCACAGATAACTTTAAATTCGTATCTTCTTCACTGTTGTTTAAAAGAGCTTCACATATAACCTTATACTCTTAGCTTCTCCTCTGTTGTTTAAAAGAGCTTCACAGATAACCTTATACTCTTATATTCTCCACTGGTTTTTTTTAAAAAGCTGATGGATTATTGGGAATCAAACAAAAGGCGTACGATGTAGATGTTTTCTGTTAACTTTATACAGAAGGTAAATGTCCTGTGTTGACGTTGTGACTATCTGAGCGCTTTCCAGGTCTGAGAATGGAAATAAGCCGCGGCTTATTATCGATATTTTGGAGTAAACAATGATCAAATATTGCAAACACTGGACGTTTCTTAAACACAAATCTGTTATTTATTTTATTTATTTCAATATTATATTTTATTTCAATATGAGACTGAATCATGTCTGTAAGTGTTACTATCCACCTTTCAGGATTTTGATTCTGTCATGATACAATGTACGTTTTTAGATCATGGTGTGCATTTGTTTTTATGTACTAAAGTAATTATTTAATATATTACTATGTTGTCAAACCTCTAAAACCCCAGGCAATCTAACACAACAGTTTCTGTATAATGTGTTTGGGAAAAGAGATAACACAGAATTTTGAATATACATATTGGAATGAGACCATACATACTTGCTTTGGATTATTATACTGTTGTAAATTACAAAAAAATAGTAGCACATAAACCTTCTATGATCTTCAATGACTGTCAATGCTATCAACTTCTTGTCATTTTCTACACCAAAAAAAAAAGGCTGGGCTTCAAAGGATCTGCAAAATCTTAGATAACAGTTTAGCATTAACAATGATTTAATTTTCAATATCTTTTCATCACTCTAAGATTTTTTTATAACTTTGTTGTTCCTTATGAGTATGCTTTTATTTCAAAGGTAGTAATCTTAACTACTTTGAACATAAAGATATACAGATTTGAAAAATACAGGAAAAATTAATGCCATTTCGGTAATCAAATAAAAGATTGCCAATAATTCATTGAAATAATAACCAACAAACAATTCTGAACGCAAATCTTTAAACTACTGAATTTCATCGCAAATATAGGCTTAAAAGGCACTATTTCTTACTTGAAAATATCAAGAATTTCTTATTTGTTCACCTTCTTTTTTGCAATTGTGATATCACAAATAGGAGTTACTAATGTGACATACACAGATGTTTGTAATGGTGTTATTACACTGTAGCTTGTTACACTGTAACTTATTACACTGTAGCCTAGTAGCTTAAGCTTGTGATACATAACCATGGTATGTCTGCATTAATACCAGAGACAGCTTACCTCGGAACCCTTATAATATCTGCATTAATACCAGACACAGCTTACCTCGGAACCCTTATAATATCGGCATTAATACCAGACACAGCTTACCTCGGAACCCTTGTAATATCGGCATTTATACCAGACACAGCTTAACTCGGAAACCTTGTAATATCGGCATTAATACCAGAGACAGCTTACCTCGGACCCCTTATAATATCTGCATTAATACCAGACACAGCTTACCTCGGAACCCTTATAATAGCGGCATTAATACCAGAGACAGCTTACCTCGGAACCCTTGTAATATCGGCATTTATACCAGACACAGCTTACCTCGGAAACCTTGTAATATCGGCATTAATACCAGAGACAGCTTACCTCGGAACCCTTGTGATATCGGCATTAATACCAGACACAGCTTACCTCGGAACCCTTATAATATCGGCATTAATACCAGAGACAGCTTACCTCGGAACCCTTGTAATATCGGCATTTATACCAGACACAGCTTAACTCGGAAACCTTGTAATATCGGCATTAATACCAGACACAGCTTACCTCGGAAACCTTGTGATATCGGCATTAATACCAGAGACAGCTTACCTCGGAACCCTTGTGATATCGGCATTAATACCAGACACAGCTTACCTCGGAACCCTTGTAATATATTAATACCAGAGACAGCTTACCTCGGAACTCTTGTAATATCGGCATTAATACCAGAGACAGCTAACCTCGGAACCCTTGTAATATCGGCATTAATACCAGAGTCAGCTTACCCCGGAACCCTTGTAATATCGGCATTAATACCAGAGTCAGCTTCCCTCGGAACCCTTGTAATATCGGCATTAATACCAGAGACAGCTAACCTAATAAGATGAGGTAAAAGCAAAACATATAGTCCCCGTAAAATAGCCGCTTATGATATAGAAATGTGATAGTTACTAATAGATATATTGATTTATGTCGTTAGTAAGGCCAAAAGTTATATATATATATATATATGTTAATGCATGCTGTCTCTGATATTAATGTTGATATATACACGATGTATAGCATAGGTTTAAATTAATTTGCATAAAATACTATTACGTCCGCCTTTTTGTTGTAGGCGAACCGCGAGATGTGAGACAGATATCGGGTGCTGGACAAGGGGTAGGTGTCAAATCATGTCAATGTAGAGATAAGGAAATAAAGTGCCAAACAGAGAAGGTACACTGTTCAAATGTCCAATTAATTGACAAACGTTGTCAGCATCAGGTCAAACGAGGTCAATATGGTGTCAAAATGTTTATAGTGTCAAATGTCAATATAATAACAATACGAAAATATGATATAATAATATAAATTAAGTGCCGACAATATCAATAATTTTTAAGTACAATCAAACAATGCCATTGTAGTATCCAACAAGGGTGATTATAATTAAGGTCGCCATATAAAGCATGTATTAGTTCCCGTTTTAATTTCCGTAGAATAAAATATAGCGTGTATGTTCCTAGTTCGAAATAACTAACTGCTTACAAAAACATTCCAAGGGACAGAGATAGTACATGGATTCTTTAAAGACAAATGCGCACCCAACCTCGATATCCAGGGGTTACGCTCACTTTCGCTCTCTGCAGCCCTGGAATATGTCGTATTCCGGTGTCCTATAAAATTTCCATCCCCGTAAAATACTCATCCGGATGAATATTCAATGCATTAAATACTCATCCCCCCCCCCCATAAAATATTTATCCCCCCTAAAATTTATCAAAAACTTTTTACATAAATACAAACTTTATAGCATTATTACATCATGTTACCTGTAATACATGGTTCCTGTATGTCTATCCAGGTAATTATAATACACAGGGTGTCACCTGTGTGGGGACTGGGACCCTGGGGGCTTATCAATACAGGTGAGAGATAGGTGACACTGCATGGTGACCAGCACACAGGTGTGGCTCAGCTTTACACAGGAAAATAAACAGCCTTATAATGAATGATAGTTAAACAAAGAAATACACTGAAGTTTAAAAAACATTAAAATCTTAAGTTTTGATAATTCACAAAAGGTTATAATAATGCAACTTGCATTGGTACTGATCTGAATGCTGAATTTTGTAGAGTGTATTCTGAAAAGAAGTGTTATGTTTAAACTTTCTTGATATCACAGTTGATTTCTGACATTTTAATATATCAACCTCCATCTTCCCCAACAA